ACCAACGGTTAGCTATTGATATGTAGCCAAGGTATACGAAGATGCTCTATTTGACCGCTTCATAGAGCTGTCGGGAAACTTTAACATTTCAGAGGCAGTCATTCGGTTGAAAGCACACCCATCTAACATTGATGAACCGTTCCCAACAGACCAGAGCAAATTCAATCAAATGTTTCTTTGTTTCGTAGCGTACATAAGAAGACTTGTACACTTACTACTGTGGAGGTTTAATATATATTTTGTTTATTCATTTTATGAATACATCTCTATTATAGGACCCCAGTAACTAATAAAACCTTAAATAGATGTTGGCAGTTGGAAATTGTTTTTTTCATTTTGCTAACATTAGCATAAATGTACGTGCTTTGAACTAAAAACAACGCATAATATCTTGTTATGTACTACAATCTACAGTTACTGGAAACAAATTATGAATGATCACCTTGGCCGAGGTCTCGTGTTTGGAGGGCACATATTTCCATGACTAACAAGCCCATAAAAATTCTCGTAATGCATTCATCGTATCTCATACCGACCTTTAATCGATGTAATTAACATGGAATCAAATGAAATGTTGCAATAAATCACTTTTCGAAAGTCGGTGGAAACAGTATGAAACATGTCTTTTCTCATGAACTGGCTGTTGAAAAATAGCCACTGGGAGTAGTGCTTCGTGGCGTTCAAACTCCCGGAAAACCCAAACCTTTATCTAATTCCTATGTTTATAAGTCTTAGAAGTCTATAAAAAAAAGACAAATGTTTAAACAAGTCCCTTACTGAAAATGACATTTATTATACAAATATGTCAAATGCTTTCAATCCATCGATTTGCCTGTCAGAATCACATCCGAATACTTTGTTACCAACCAATTGTATTTGTTGATAGTCTTTAAGCAGTTAAAGTACCCCGGTGGGTCAGTGGTAAGTTAACTTACGTACAATGCAAAAATACAGGATTCATTTCCCTATGATCGACAGAACGTAGATAGACAGACCATTGTGTCGCTTTGGACAAAAACAACAAGAAGCAGTTAATAAAAAAAAACTGATTTCTTTGTCTTCTTTATCCAAATCTGAGTTTATTCAATGTTATTATGAAAAATAAGTAACTAACGATAAAGTTTAGCCTTGTATTGATTTTGTTGATTATGTTACATAGAAAGACTCAACTTAGGTTTAGATTCTGAAGAATAAATAATAGGATATTCCTTAATAGGTAAATTTAGAAAAACAAGCAGCGTTTCGTCTGTTGGAAAAAATATCAACAATACTTTTTACAAAATACTGCATAAACTTGAAGGCAGACACCTTGCAGTCTAATATACACAATCGGTTTGTGAATTAGTGGTATGGAAAAAAATATCAACAATACTTTTTACAAAATACTGCATAAACTTGAAGGCAGACACCTTGCAGTCTAATATACACAATCGGTTTGTGAATTAGTGGTATGGAAAAAAATATCAACAATACATTTTACAAAATACTGCATAAACTTGAAGGCAGACACCTTGCAGTCTAATATACACAATCGGTTTGGAGAATTTACCTATCAACTTTCATATACATTTTTCTTAAGTACTAAGGCTAAAAAAAGACAAAGATTGTCTTCATCCTTGAAATAAAATCCCACATTCTATATTATATCTTGCATATTGAAACTCAGTATATAATAAATGGAGTACACTTCTATGTAGCAAGAATTCACAAGTTATCTTTACTAGAAAATTTACTGACTTAAGAAGAAAATTAATTTCTTTGATGACGACATTTTTTGCGTGCAGTTTGAAACGTTACAGAAACAAACAAGAAACTCAAATTACTCTCTAGAAAGCTTGAAGTTATATAATTACTGGCTGATGAAGTTCAACAAACGAATACTTTAATATTGGATGAACGTTTTCATATCGATTACACGGAGAACCTAATTATATATATCTCTCTTTATATATATATATATATATATATATATATATACGTGTGTGTATCTACATTAGTAGAAGAAACCGACGGTCATAACAACAAGTGATTCAGAAAATTAAGATTGATAAGTCAACTAATTAGTTGGGAAAAAAGGAAAAATGAAAACTAAACTTATTAGCTCAGTATACCATTCTTTACCTACCTGACTTTAACTTTAAAATTTGTTAAACGTTACATTATATGACAAACTAAAAAGATAAACGATTTCTATTTCAGTTTTAAAATAATTATATATAAAATAACTCGTATACATGACTTTATTGGTAAGCTCATGTTTTGTCTCATCATGGCTAGTCTACTATATCTTTTCAATTATGTGCTTTTTTTTTCAGAATTAAAAATATATCTATATATATATATATGATTGTTATGGTGTGAATACCTTTTGTAGATGAAGTGGGATTATAACTAATTATATTTTCCATGAGAATATAGTATTAGGCGTATTGTATGTTTAAGCAATACATTCTATATTCAGTTCCTTAGGGGTTTTCCGAGAAAAATGGTGTGTAATAATATTTCAACCACACCATATCTGTTATCCTCATGGCCAACGACATGTTTAGCTCAATACCAGAACTCATCAGGCCAGCTGGGATACGAAATTCATGCTTACATAAATCCTTTGTTAGAATAACAATGATTATGGCATGTTGTTGCAACATTTTGACAGTCTACAGTTGAGAGAACACCCCGATTTAACAACAACAACAACAACAAATATTAAAAAGGTGCTTTTATCTGTTACATGCAAATATTTGATAGACGTATGTATAATAATCATATAACTTTGAAATGAAACCTAAATAAATTTTATTTCACTTTGGCTAAATTATAACACTTAAATAAGGTTACTTGGATTTCATCGTTATTGAAGGAAATAAATAGGGGGTTGTTTATATTTTCAAACAATTGGGTTCAGTACACCATGTCGTTTACGTTTTTTTAAAAAAAAAAGCTTATTGACCATGAAACTTGCGATTTCCTAAAGTCTTTATACATTTGATTTAAACTTGAGATACGTGTCTCCGTGTTCTCTGTTTGTGATTAATATTTTAAATGAGACTCAAAGTCTTTCTAAAACAAGTTAATAATTAATCCTAGTTACTCAGAAAGTAACTCGTATTTCTAGTTAGGAGTAAACTAAGCTGCGACATAACTTCAAGAGTAACAACGAACGATGAAATATGTAACAAATCACTAAAAAAACCAGTACGTACGGAAAATATAATAAATAATCGCTGCGTTCACTCACAAAATGAAAACACAAAGATATAATGAAGTGGCAAACTAAATTAAACTTTTTAAAAGTTAGTGCAATACCCTTTAGCGAAAGTACAAACACAGATTAATCTTTACAAACACACAATATATAAATATTTCAGTGACAGACAAACAAGCAGCGCAGTCAAACAAAGGCACAGACTTAACCGCACACAGACAAACAAAGGGATAGACAGCTCTAAATATTTCAATCACACGTAAACAGAAAAAGAAAGGGGGCAGATAACTATAAATGTTCTGATCAATTGCAAGCAGACAATCAAAATATAGAAAACCCAAACTCTCTGACCACACGCAGACAAACAAACACAAGGACAGACAGCCCTGAACGTTCTTATCAACTGTAACGAGCTATCCAAGAGTTATGTGGCTCTGAAGGTTCTGATCAAATGTAAGAAGACATTTAAGGGTAATACGGCCCTGAACGTTCTGATCAAATGTAAGCCGTTATCTAAGGGTTATACGGCCCTGAAAGTTCTGATCAAATGTAAGCAGCTATCTAAGGGTAATACGGCCCTGAACGTTCTGATCAAATGTAAGTAGCTATCTAAGGGTTATACGGCCCTGAAGGTTCTGATCAAATGTAAGCAGATATCTAAGGGTTATACGGCCCTGAAGATTCTGATCAAATGTAAGCAGTTATACAAGGGTTATACGGCCCTGAAGGTTCTAACCATTCATAGATGGACAAGCAGAGGAATAAACGGCCGTGAACATTCTAGCCACAAGTGGACAGAAAAACAAAGAGACAGACGGTCCTGAACAATTTAACAACGCGTAGATGGACAAACAAAAGGATAGGAAGCTCAAGCTTTCTAATTGTAAAATAACAGGTAAATAACAGGATAGATGGTTCTGAATGCTTACCACACGTAGATTTATTTGTTTTAGAACTTTGGCGTGAAGCTAAAAAAGGACTATCTACGCATGCCGTTACTAATTTGAACTAACAGACCAGAGCGAGGATAGATAGTTAGCATCACCCACCGCCAACTTATAGGAAATATAACAGTCGCTCTTTTAGCACTTCTACGGCCCCAAACTACGAAGCGAGTTCTTCGTCAACGGACCGCGAACACTCGGATTAACGATCTGACAACCCCAACACATAGATGGAGCCACGCTCGACCCCAACACATAGAAAACCTAGTGTTATTGGTTAGTCGCAATAAACATCTGTTAACAAGTTCGGGTTATACTAAAATTCAGTGAAATTCTTGAACCACATCGGTTATTATTATTATTATTTTGCAATCCAAAAATTATTGAAATAATACAAACACACAATATTAAGGATAAATAGCTTCTAGGTGTTTAGTACAGCTTTTTTTATAGTTACACAATATTAAGGTTAAAGGGCTTCTAGGTGTTTAGTACAGCTTTTTTATAGTTACACAATATTAAGATTAAAGGACTTCTAGGTGTATAGTACAGCTTTATTTATAGTTACACAATATTAAGGTTAAAGGGCTTCTAGGTGTATAGTACAGCTTTTTTTATAGTTACACAATATTAAGGTTAAAGGACTTCTAGGTGTTTAGTACAGCTTTTTTTATAGTTACACAATATTAAGGTTAAAGGGCTTCTAGGTGTTTAGTACAGCTTTTTTTATAGTTACACAATATTAAGGTTAAAGGGCTTCTAGGTGTTTTGTACAGCTTTATTTATAGTTTTTGGATTGTATTTTATTATTCAGTATTTAAAAATTACATAGTAATTTAATATTTCTCTAGGTTTACCGGCGATCGTGCTGCTCATTTGGGCTCCAGTTAAAGCTTTCTTTTCGCCATCGTCCACTGATAAGTTCTTACTGTTGGAGTAAGTATTATTCTTAAGCATTTGTTTTTCAGCCTAAGTTATAAAGACGGCAGCTTTCGTTGTCTGTTTTGGAACATCATGATCCTATTCCCCCTAAGGCAGTACTTGAATATACAGTAATAAGATAATGTAGAAGTTAGCTGGTATCGTTCGCGTAGTGTGCAGTTGCAATACAAAGTAAGGACTTGATCCCAAATTATCCTGTTATAATTTTTTATAATTTTGATTATAATTATATATATATAGTATCACATGATCCTATTCTTCCTGAAGCAGTGTTTAAATATACAGGTTTATGTAAATTTAGCTGTAAATTGCTAGTATCGTTTACTCTCATATGATGTGCAGTCGAATGTAAAGTAAATATTATTTTGAAACTTTTTACTGTAAGTTATAAAGAGTAAATATATATACAATGAAAGAAAATACTAATTTAAACTTAAGTTTTTACTGGAGCTTACCATTACTGTAAATTTAACGTTCAACGAGAATCGATTCAACTTCAAATAAGAAAGTTCATCTGGGTTATCAATAGAGCCCGAAAACGTGATATTATACGTGACATTTTTTTTATCCAGCTTCAGTTGGCTTTAGTAGAACAGTTAATATGTAAATACTGAAACGGCAAATAGGTGAGTACCGAGGAAGTATGTTTTTCAGTTGTTAACATAATACTAATCGCATCAGTTTGAGCCGGTCGAGGTCCAGCGGTTACCATGCTCGGATTGTGAATCCGAGGCTTTGTGATTTTGTCCCGTTGCGTCGAAATTCGGCACCATGAGTACGTTATAAGAACGACTATTAGATCCCACTGGTCGATTTGTTTATTTGTTTTTAAATTTCGCGCAAAGCTACACGAGGGCTATCTGCGCTAGCCGTCCCTAATTTAGCAGTGTAAGACTAGAGGGAAGGCAGCTAGTCATCACCACCCACCGCCAACTCTTGGGCTACTCTTTTACCAACGAATAGTGGGATTGACCGTCACATTATAACGCCCCCACGGCTGAAAGGGCGAGCATGTTTGGTGGGATGGGGATTCGAACCCGCGACCCTCAGATTGCGAATCGAGCGTTTTATCCACCTGGCCATGCCGAGCCCTGCCCCCACTGGTCGATCAGAAACGAGTGACTCAAAACATTTTAATGGATTCTGTTGATTAGCTACCTTCACTTTCGTCTATTAGTTCAAAATTAGAGACGGCTATGCGTAGATAGCCCTTTATATAGCTTTGAGCGAATCTTCTAAGACAAACAAAGAGATATAAAAGTGTGTATTGGGCCTAAAATACTTTATTACCAACTTCGATTTGCTTATTGCCTTTAACTACATTTGAAATGATAATTCAATAATTTATCATAGACAGAGATTACACAACGAACTTGTATAGATCTTAGCCACCAGAGTTGTTTTTTTTTTTAATTTCGCGCAAAGCTACACGAGGGCTATCTGCGCTAGCCGTCTCTAATTTAGCAGTGTAAGACTAAAAGGAAGGCAGCTAGTCATCACCACCCACCGCCAACTCTTAGGCTACTCTTTTACTAAACGAATAATGGGATTGACCATGACGTTATAACGCCCCCACGGCTGAAAGGGCGATCATATTTGGTGGGACGGGGATTCGAACCCGTGATCCTCAGGTTGCGAGTCGAGCGCCCTAACCACCTGTCCATGCCGTGCCGATCAAAACGGAGGAAGAAAAACTGATTATTTAACAATAATGTATAAAATTGTGAGGAGGAGGTCAGTTACAAAAGTTATAAAATTTTATGATAATTTATAATTTTAAACTATAATAACATGTATTCAGTAATCGTCATTAAAAATTATTAGATACCTAAATACACAAATATTGAGATCGGTAGTTAGTGGCGCTGACGGTCACAATAACTTTAACTATTGCACAACATGCAGTTTATATTTTATCATGTTTAGAGGATTTTTACTTTGTTTCTACTGTAAACTTTTCCTTCAAGAGTAGAAATAGTTCGTTGTGTTCCAGTAAAGTTCGTATGAATCCCTCTGTAAATATATATACATTTATTATATTGTGACTGTACATTTTCTAAGTGGAGTTAATTTATATTTCCTCATTCAGGAGGCTCTGAGTTAACGTTTATTGGATTCTACACTAAAGTCAATGTTTAGTGTATTATTAATAGGCTTCAGAAACAGAAGCAAACAATCTAAGTTAAAGTAATAATAGAAGAGCATCTGCTTAATTTAAACATATTTAGGTATTATGCATGATATCTTCGTCACTATGGCTACGAGCTCTATAATTGAGTCTGTGCTTTGAAATTAGCTATCCTATATTAATTCACGTTGTATATTTGTTTATTTGTTCGTGAAATTTTCCCATAGTTTTGGAGATAGCATGATCAAACTTGGATTCGGGATGGCTCGAGGGGTGTCCTTATATATATATATATAACCGGGGGGGGGCTACAATGCGCCCAGAAGGTCACTCAACAATGATTGGGATCATCTGATTTTGTGTTCCTGGCCTCCTTATGATCCTGAGGGCGTCAGTCTCAAGCTAGCAAGACCAAACATAGCACACGTGCTCAAATACCACGGTTAGGTCTACTAAAGGTGTTTTCTTTTCGTGTAGACCCCCCCCCCCGTGGAGTAGCTGTAGATGTATTTAGAATAATGGAGGCTCTTGATCAATACATTTTGGCTTCTGTAAAGCATCAGGAGAGTTTGAACCCCTCAGTGGAGAGTGGGTATTTTTTGCTTGTAAATTTAATTAATAGTTATTAAACGGTACAATAAAATGTAACGTTACTACACGGTACAGATATGCTTTTGGCTACGAGTTTTGCAAATAAATTTAGTCTGTTTTACATCTGAATTTCTATTACGTTTAGCTGTCCGTGGCAAAGCAGAGACAACTATGACTATATATTCATAAGCCCGGTCATCCTTGTTTTAGTGGTAAGTTTTTTTTACTTTGTTATTATCAGATTAAATGGTTTTCTGAGATAGTCGTATGTTTTTGAAGTGTTTTCAGATAGTTATTTTATAATGTTGAAAACAACTGCTTGCATCTATCTACATTCATTAAAAATCAAATATAATTTCATGGCTGTCAGATAATATATTTTAGCATGGGTTGAAATGAAATATATAATAAAGCCTTAATAGCTTTATAAAAAGTATTTAATACAAAGAATAGATACTATAGATTCCAAAGTTTGTCCATGTAACAATCTGGTTCTTAATACGTATTTCATTCATCTATTTAAGAATGTATATGAAAAGTTCTAGGATAAATCAAAGCGGTTTCATTATTAGACTTTGACTTTGAAAGCTTTCTACTGTTTCGTAAAGTTTGGAAACTTTCTTTATAATAGTTCCTCGGTGGGTCAGTGGTAAGTTTATGAGCTTACAAAGCTATAATCTGGAGTTCAGTTCCCCACCGTGAACAGAGTGCAGATAGCTCGTTGTGTAGCTTCGTGCTTAAAAAATCTTCATAACAGTGTTGTTGTTTTTAGGATTGTAAGAAGATGATCCAGCTAAATCATTATTTAATTTTATTTATTTTTATCATTTGAAGCATTCAAGTATTTGTCTTGAAATTTTGTACCATCATGCTGAAATGGCATTCATTCCCTGTCACATTTTCCAAAGCTGGCCAGTTTCAAATTTCAGATAAAGTGATGAAATATTAAAATCCGTATCTTTTTGTTTTCATTGTGAACGTAAAAATAAATATGATAACGGGATAACTGTTATTCAGAAATGTGACAGTAAAATAGTTAAGCCTAATCAAGCTTGCTACGAGTTTAAGAATGGGAAAAAACCTTTGTCCTAACTCTTGACCTTTATGATTTCTCATGTTTATCAGAAGACAGTTTTACTTGTACCAATAGATAAAGTGACAATGTTTAAACGTTATATTAATAGTTTTTAAGTGGTTTCTTAGGGAGTGCCTCGCTGAACAGAATAGATACCTTTAAAAACACATTCGTTTTGTTTGTTATGTTTGTGATTTTTCAGGCTTAGAAAAGAGAGAATTCTATTTATATGCATCATGCTAAAATTTATTTTAGTTGAAAATATGTAAAGAATGTACAACTAATTAATACTTTAGTTTGTTCTGTACTGAGATATAACATATACTTTATATGATTGCACTGAACATTTTTCACCTAGAATCGTTGAGAAACCAGAACTGATCGATTGTTCAGTATTAATTCAAATAGTCTTCCGTGTGACATATTTAATTTTATATGAAACATGTGCGACAAACTAAATTATATCTTAATAAATGCTAACGATTTGGTTCGTTGTCGTTCACCAAAATATCTGGCTACACTAGGATTCATAGAACCAGAATTAACATTTGTGCTGTTACTATAGAATACGTGACAATATATTCTTAGAGGAAATACAGCTCTCATACCGCATAGTGGAAGGGCTAAGAAATCCCTAATGAAGGTCGTACGGTATGTTATGTATAACTTCTGTCACTCAGTTATATTAAGTAAGTGACACTCTTGAGATAACGTTCCGTCTCATAAAATCAGTCAGTAGATTGGAATGAAAGGGTCAAAGCACCTGAAACTGAATTTTCAAACTTCTAGCAGCTATCTTCAGTTGTATAAACTGTTGATATGCCAGGCATTATCATAAGTACGGCAGTACTTATAGTAGGAAAGGGTCAGATGTGCAATACAAATTGAAACCTCAAACACATTGCAAAAAGCATGTAAACAAAATTTTATCAGCATTTTACACATACTGTTGAGTAGTAAACAAACCAACTGCAGAGTAACAAGCCACCAAAGCACTTGAGAAAGTTGGTAGAGTATAAACAAAAACTTCCCCAAAACCACAATTTGTCAATATGACTATATGACTGACTGACGTTATTGGAAAGGCATAGCTCTCTCCTGCCTTCATCTTATGCAAATCTAAGTGCAAATGACTGAATTACGTTACCTTGGCTAAAAGCGTTTTTCTTAACCTTACTAAAAACATTGGTCATAACAAATAATAACAATAACGATTTTGTAACACTACTAACGAGCTAACAATACACTAGTAGCAATATACTATGATTATGAGCACGCTCCGTGAGTTGCCGAGTAACAACCCGCTCTCATGTTACGTGTGAGTGCACGATTGCTTATACGCACGCGCTACGTGATCAGCCTGCATCTGTATCAGATAGATAAAAACGTGGACTACGTAGATTCTCTAGATCTAGTTACTAACTAAAATCTTATATTGATAACTTTGAAATGTCTTTGTACCAGTGAAGAGAGCATTACTTCAAGAACAGAGATAAGGATTTTTTTTATACTTAAGTACAAAGCTACACAAAAGGCTATTTGTGCTCTTCCCACCACGAGTATCGAAACCCAGTTTCTAGCATTGTATGTCCGCAGACATACCACTCTGCCACTGGGGGAGTGGGCTAAATATAAGGTTATAAACAGTAATTCTGATTATGCATACAAGTTTTAGCCATTAATACAGTCAAAGATAAGGCTGCCACCTTGGCTAGATAGAAGGAAAACTATTGTAAAGATATCGGCAAAAGCCAAGAAAGTTCGAGAGATAGCTTAAAGAAAAGCTACAAGAAGGATACGCCTGGAGCCCAGTCAGTCTTGAGACTTATTACCAAAAAAGCAATGAGACAAGTGTAAACATTTTTAAATAAAAAAATGAAGACGTAGGAATGGGACAACTAAAAAGTATTAAAACAGTGCAGGAATGGGCAGAATAAGATTACAACACTTGGTTGTTTTTGACACGGTGCAACCTCAAAGTGGGTGTGGCCATCGTTCCGCCCATTCCTACTTCGGGTTTTACTTTGAACTTTGATCCAATTATAGACTTGAAGTAGTGAGTTTTATCAGTAGCTAATCGTTTCTAAATACTCACCAAATTTAAAAATTTCTCATCTCACAGTTTTCGTTTATAAAATGCCCAGTGATAGCAATGTAGCTTTCAGCAGATCTTGAAGTCCATCCAACAGTGATAAAGGCAATAGAAGAAGCACCTTTCAGTTCAATGTCAAGTTTGTCATTTTCCTCTTTGTATAGGTCTGGAATCACTACAATACTAAATTGATTCTTAGAAGGGACCTCACATCTTGGTTCCAAAACCTTAAGAAGAGTCCTAAGGTCAGAATTATCCACCACTGAAAATTGTCTCTTGTCTTTAGCCATAAAGATTCCAATAGCTCTCGCTACCTTTTCCCTATGACTGTTCAGGTTTAATTTCATTTTAAAGGTTTCCTCGAGTTTCACTTAAGGAGTACGGTAACTTTTACTGCTTATAGAAAGTGAAGAATGAGAGAGTTTACCATTAATTCCTCCATATCTTGTGACGTAGTATCAAGTTTTGTTATCAGGTGTGTGACCATGTTTGACATTGGTCCACTTTTATAACTGACCTCCTCCTCACAATTTTATGCATTATTTTCAAATAGTTTTGATAGGTCCAGCATGGACAGGTGGTTAGGGCGCTCGACTCACAATCTGAGGGTCGCGGGTTCGAATCCTCGTTCCACCAAATATGCTCGCCCTTTCAGCCGTGGGGGCGTTATAATGTGACGGTCAATCCCACTATTCGTTGGTAAAAGAGTAGCCCAAGAGTTGGCGGTGGGTGGTTCTGATTAGCTGTCTTCCCTCTAGTCTTACATTGCTAAATTATGGACGGCTAGCGAAGATAGCCCTCGTGTAGCTTTGCGTGAAATTAAAAAAAATATATACAAACAAACCGTTTTGATCCAAAACTTCAAACCCAAAATCTCTCCAAAACAGGTGCCTCTTCTATTTTATGCTTCGATGAGTCAGCCATTGTTGATATAGAAAGTGGTAATTTGGTTTACCATTTATTGAAAACTTTGAGATATTAGAAACATGACTAACGGTATTTTCAACCCGCGTTACTAAAAATAACGAAATCTATACTCGCTTGCATGGAAATGTAAATTTGTAATCTATGTTATTTGAAGCATTTGTTTTTATATAAAATAAAAAGTTCTGTTTGTTTCTGGTTGCTAAGCATAAAGCTACACAATGGGCTATCTATGCTGTGCCTACCACTGATATCGAAACACGGTTTTTAGCGTTGTAAACTTTCAAACTTATCACTGAGTTACTGAGGGTATATAAAAAAGAAATTCAGAAAAATAAGTGAAAAAAAAACCGAACCGAATTGCAGCATAAACAAACAATTTATCAAACTATGGCCAAGGAACCATAATGAATTGTAATTTCGGTGAATTGTTACAGACCTGCTGTCTTATGGTTAGGGCGCTTGACTCGTAATCTGCGGATCGCGGGTTCGAATCCCCGTCACACCAAACATGCTCGCCCTTTCAGCCGTGGGGGCGTTATAATGTGACGGTAAATCCCACTATTCG